CTGCTGTTCTTTCCCAGCCTATCCATAAACAGACAGGTACAAAGTTCCCATAGTTTTCGCAACATCTAATTCTATGATCAATTGCTAGACACAGCAAATATACTAATTAATTGTCTGATTGTGATTCGGGAACGTAGGGTTTTTACATAAACAGGATACTTGGCTGTACATAGCCTGAGAACACCGGATTGACCCCCCCCCCAATCGACGCCTAGGCGCTGCTTATGTTTTAATAAGAAACATTCCCTTGTAAAAAATTATCGGGATATGAATTGATACAAGGTCAAGTATTCTGCCCCTTTTGTGTGATAAAAATATGTATTTAATTGGTGCTTTAACTTTTTGAACAAAGAAATGAAATAATCGCACTGAATGTCTCAACATAAATCAGTGATGTTTAATTAATAAATGGCACTATTATGTCAGTCTACGCACTTCATGGACATGGACGGGGGGGGGGTGTAAGTTACCCATTCTAAAATGGTTAAATTTTGTATTAAAGAGTAATCAATAGGTCGTGAACTCCGATTGATAACCAACTGTAGCATACTGCTTAATTTGTTTGACTATTGATATTAAAAAGGAGTGAATTTATGATATTCATAGAGGTACATTGTATTGGTATTAATATAATAATGATATTGGGGACCATAAACCACTTTGTTTCGCAAGTAGCTTTAGGATCGCGGTTTTATCTTCACATGTTGCCCTTTGTGCAATTCGAAAATGAAATATTTTAATCTATAATTTATATATAATTTGCAAAATAAATGTAATTAAGAGACATGGGGGAGGGGGGGGGGGTTAACGGCCAGAATTTGGAATGAATTTGGGAATTTCAAGGATTGATTCACTTAATGTTGTTCACTGGAGTCGATACACACACCTGCATAACAATCGGAGACAAAACTGACTTAATCTGATATGATAACAAAAGATTAATAACTTAGTCTATGTTTTTGTTTTTATAATTGCGGAAGTGTACCAAAACCACCTTGATTACAGAAGATATCGTCTAGGCTTTAGATTTAATGAATAGATTTTTTGCCCTAGTCTCATTTAATAAAACAGGCTATTTGCGTATTAAATTAATATTTGTGACAAAATATTTCAGTTAGACTCAAAATTAAAACGAATTTCTCCATTATAGCCCCCCTCGCAACTGTCCCGAGTCTGCATCTGTTTTTCATGCTTCCGATCCACCTTTGGGATAGAGAGAAAAGATGTAGATTTGTAATTTGGGGGGTGGCATTAAATGTGTTCTCATACAAACTAAAATAAACCCCAAAAAGCCATATCAAATGTCCAAACACAAGACCAATGCCATGTCAAACATCCAAATATAGAACCAATGCCATACCCCCGGGTACCAAATATCCAGAATATAAGACCAAGGCCATTCGAAATATCGAATGCCCCGAGAAGAAGGCAGATCTTTGAGTAAAATGATCATAAACAACCTCAAATGAAGGATATGTGTAACAACTAGACCAATGCCCCGGGACCAATGCCGTACCACAATTGAGGGGTAACATATTTTCCACACCGACTCTTATACCAGAAAATGGAAAAATCTGTCTTAAAATGTGGGTCCATTGGCTTGACATACCAAATGTAAAAAAGGTACCCCACCTGAGCCGAGTGTGAACCCCCGGGGTGAATGGTGAACACACGGGGCAAGGAATTCTTCGATTTTGATTCAAGTAATTTTTTTTATAAAATTCATACTCATGTTAATAGCGGACGCCTTGGCCAAATAATCTTTCAAATCATGCACTTTCCAAGTGATTTTGTAGCAAAATTGTGATAATATATGAACCCCTTGGAATTATTCAAAGACGGACCCCGGACTTTCCGCATAATGATAAAATGTTGACGATATAGTTTTCGATAAAACCCCAGGGCCGTAGCCAGCTTTCAGTCGGGGGGAGGGGTGATGCAATCACCAAAATATTTTAGGTTTTCAGTCGGGGGGTGCGATCGTGACATAAATGAGGCAAAAAATATTTGTTTTGAATTTTTACGAAAATGATGCAACTTCCTTCAAACCTGAGCTAGAAGCTTCAAACAAAAAATCAATTTAATGCTCTTTTCTTCCTCTACCTTATGGTACCTTTTATTGCTTGTAGGAGGGGGTGCGAACCCATCGCTTCTCCTCGTTACGCTTATAAACCCAATAACGTATTCCCAAGGAATCGACTTTATTAATTTATATGTGAAAAATGAGCTTGCATGTACAAATTGCATCGTATGCAAACCTTCCCCTGACCGACCCGGTCATGTTTATGTCTTTTGAATGATGTCTACCCCTTGATGCATGCATCCTTTAATAAGTGGTGTTAAGAATATTGGTGTAGGCCCTGGTCAATATCTCTAGATACGCAGAGTTTCTAGACCGGCTAAGCACGTCTAAAAATTACTAGAAATTCCACAATTTATACAGTGATATGGATTTCATGTTTCTATTGAATGCCTTATTTTGAAGTCTAGCTAAATAATCGAGTTTGATTTTAAACGTTTTCGGGGATCCGGGCAGAACTCAGGATATAGTACTTGAGTACATTTGCATTCAAAATAATTCAAAATTCAAAATTGCAAATATCATGGAAGTTGATTGCAATTATGTTCGATGATCGTCAACATGAAAGAACAATATGTCTGAATAATGCTATCAAACATCTTTATCAAAACTTTCCTACACTTTTAAATGTTGATCTTGTCAAAGAGTACTCTCCATCTGAGATTCAGATGTAGATCGAAAATCAAATTGATTTCAAAGGTATTTATAGATGGTTTACATGAGGGGTTCTGTCCATGTGGGTGGTGTATTCCTTTCATAACAAAGAGTTGTTTTGCTTCCGGGGTCCTAAATTATTCAATTTTAAATAGTAACTAATAAGATTAAACAGATCAAAAAGACTCGGGGCACTGCCGTCGCCCCATCATGATCAATACAGGTGACAATAAGCGACACATGTTTCAGCGTCATGATAGTAAACCATGACATCTCAAATCTTCCCAGCCCTTGATTTTTGAGATCTTTCATCCCAGCTCATATTTCATCTAATTGGGGTCATAAAACTTGTGTAACTGTGCCTGTTGCATCCTCGCTGGAAGGGTATTTTACAAGTATAAATGAAGTCCTTTGAAGAAGGATGTGCCTGTTGTTAAATACATGTACAATGCCTTACTACATTATGTAATGTATTGACATTAAGGTAGATGATTACATGATAACAATCACACTTATTGACATTCATAACTCTTCCCATCTGATATGCTCAGATCACAGAATATGCCTCATTATATCAGAGCATGTTTCAGGCGTTTCAGACCCATAGCCAGGATTTGCCAAGGGGTGGGTTACGTTTTTAAGAAATTCCAGGGGGAGTTTACTTTTGGCAATGTTAGTTCAAAAATGAGCAAAATAATTTAAAAGGTGCTCAGTATGGGGTAAAAAATGCAATTTTGGTCACGGAGGGGGGGGGGTCGCTAGAACCAATCTATCCCCCCTGTATTCGGGCCTGTATGTGCTATCTACATATTTGACAATTGATAATTTGATTGACACGGTTCAAAGTGGACTTTGTTAATTATTCAAACTGTTTTAATATCTAGGAATATGCGTCCAAGTTAAAATCACTCGAAATCAGGGTAGATAAACCTAAGAAAAACACATTTCGTGTTTTCATTTGATCTTTAACATGATCCTGTAAAAATGTCAGATTTAGCAAAATACATAGGCGATCTCCATCTGCACACATCTACTCATTCCGACTAAGCTATTGCCTATACTTACACGCACACGCATACTTTTAAATTAATTTTATTTTGATAATGATTTAAAAAACACAAATTATTATAAACACGAAATTAAAATGATTGTTATATTCCAATCCTAGTAAAGTATAATTAAGCGCGACTATAGGGCATAACAACATGTGGCCAGTCTAATTATACTGTTTGTTTTGATAAGGCTGTGCAAAGAGATATCAAAACTCTTGACACGCTCTTTACACGCGAGGTCTTTGCACCTCTTGACACGTCTTGGAATCTCTAGATACGCGGAGTTCCTAGATTATCTTTGCACGTCTAGAAATTGCTTGGAATTTCACATTTGACGCAGTGTAAATTGAAGAAAATGTATGTCATCCTTAAATGTACGTATGTTGGTTACTTTATATTTATTGTAGTCTGTCTGACAGATTTGTTTCATTTTTGAAAGTGTAAAAGATGAGTATAATCTCGAATCTGATGAAAAAGTATTTCCCAGTTTTTTGACTACTAAAGATGACTGCAGTTTATCTTTAGGAGTAACGTAAAATAATTTTGATTAACTTAGATTGTAAAACCGATGCCTTTAAAGACCTTACTTTCCAAGAAATTCAATAGCTCGTCTTCGATCATTTAGTAACAGCCTAAAAGTCTTTCTACTCTTGATTTCGGCCGGATTACATTTGTATTTTGAATATTGATTTTATCAGTTGAAAGTATTTGCTTAGTGAAGTTTTACTGTTTTTAAGAAGGATTCTTGTGGCTTCCGTTACAATTATAAATTTGAAGTAAAGAAAAGCTATTCATGTGGTGTAACACAAGGGTCGGTTTTGGGTCCCTATCTATATAAATATTCTGCTCTGTGGACTACAAGTATGTATGCCTGGAATACAAAGACATTGACTAGGATTAAAAAAAGGTCCCCGTTTAACTATCGCTGATATAAACATCAAATTTCACCTCAGTGGTCTGATAAAAGGCAATAATAACTGTTGTCAACTGATGAACATGTCCTTGTTTTTAAAAACTATGGATGTCATGTCACCTTTCATGAATAAATCGAGGCAGAACATGTGCTTTGTCTATATATGGAACATTCTTGGGCATAACTTAGTTCTTAGTTTATCAAATGACATCCTCTATATATGTAGTATATAATCTAAGGTAGATAATTGTCTATTCGTGCCAAATATTATCAAAACACTTATTTTAATGTTACGATTTGAATTGGAGCCATATGAGGGCATGGTACGTGAAATATGGAGTAGAGAAGAGGAGGATTAAAATATATTATAGGGATATTAATTTTGATCTCTTATAGTCATAGCCTTGGATTATATTCATGAATTATGTGATTTTGTAACATATGGAGATAAAGAATAATAGGATTAAAGTCTTTGAGATATTAATTTTTGATCTTTAATTGTCATCACCGTGGACTGTGTTGGTGAATATTGTTTGATACAATTGTACTTCTACTTCAGACCTTGAAAGTGGAATCGTTTTATCGTAGAACTGATAAGGAACTTACTTAAAAGAAAAAAGGAAGCAGTAGATATAGGCTCAATGTTTAAACTCCATAAATAGTTTAATTGGTTATCCTATCAAGAATACTGGGAGTCACGTGTGCTCTGGTCATTTGATCACCGATCAAATCAAAGAATATGATCTGAAAGAGATAAATTAGTGCTATTTTGTCCAATGATTGTCTATCATTTGCAACACACCCCCTGTTCTAAAGTCCACTTGGTATAATAATGGCCTGATGTATTCTTCTCTTGCGAACCTCTATGTCAAGTAGCAAAAGGGGCCAAGGTTAGCAATTGGTTAATACAAATTGTATCTTAATGGTAAGTCAGATATGTAATATGTTACAATCAATTTTCAATGTAAATGCGGTTTTTGATTGTTTGTGGTGGTAAGTTTGTGGTTGCTTAATTTTCTTAAAATTGATCTTAATGGTTTTGTCCTTACCGGCAATCAATTAACTTCAAATGCTGCCATGTTTCAACTAATACGGTATTTCGTTGTTGCACAATCCGATTTATCTGTCGGTGCATCTGTACCTTGATTATAATGATGACGGTAAATATGAATTTAATCGACATTTAACCTAAGTAAGTGTAAAGTACAAAATTATTCATGATTACTTATCAAATAGGAATATCACTAAATCGCTCACGCCTGCTCCGTCAGCTGATTGGCACTACTAGTAAGTTTGTGGAGAAAATGTTTAAAAAGATTAAATGGTAATTATTTTGAATGTAAATTCAAGTCTTTCACGGTAAAATATTTTTTTGTGTAATACTAAAATATTTGATACGCGGAAACACATCCAAGGCTCTTTAATCGAGAAATCATGAAATTGAAAGGTTTTCTGGTAAAAAAGAATGGGCTTCGGTGCTAAATCGACTCAGAAAAAATGTTAGATAACATTTACACTTAGAAAAAGGTCTTGGGATTTGATTTTAAGGAATTTAAAAGTTATTGAAATAAGAAAACATACTTTGAATGTGGTTTTACATTTTAGGCGACAATAGAGCTACTGGAAGAGAATCAGGAGTCGAATACAAGAACAATGGGAAGTCAGCGGCGAGTGGATGATGAAGAAGATGAGCCTTCACCCCCTCTGCCTCCGGATGGCGGTTGGGGATGGGTCATTGTCTTTGGATCATTTATATGCAACATGCTGGTGGATGGTTTCTGCTTCTGCTATTCGGTCTTTTTTGTCGAATTCTTAAAGGAGTTCGGTGAATCCGTATCTAAGACGGCATTTGTTGGTTCCTTGGTGCCTGGGATGTATTTGATGTCAGGTGAGTGACACTACATAAAGAGGATTATGGGATTGTATTTTTAAATATAAGAAAAATATTATTTGCTTGAATTTTGAAGGAAAAACAATTGTGATGTCAAGAAAGTAAAGAAAATGACATGTCAAGAAACCACTTGTAAACGAGCACAACCTATCAGAAGAAAAATTAACCACTTAATATTTCAAACCACGATCTAACTCGCCTGAAATGAGTCTAAATTTTAAGTAAAGAATGAGTTTGAGATTAATAAAGGTGTATCTAGTAGTTTTTGGTGTATTGACCTTAGTCGATTTTGAAAAATTCGCTGGGTTGTGATTTGAGAGAAAAACATTCCAGCGCGGAGTAAAAAGGTTATGTCATCCAATCGTTTCCTTTGGTTATCGTACATTTGTTTGTGAACCGATAATCTCAGGTGTACATGCAAGTTCACTTGCTCTTTGAACAGCTGATTGACCACATGAACAAGCTGAAGAGCCATTGTGGTTTATGTAGTTGTTATCTTGTACCTTTTACAAAGAACAAATATTAAGTCAAACTGATCATAATAGAAACATGTACTGTAAACTAATATAAAGCGGTACTGTTTCTTTTTGGTGGTTTTGGAAGTCATCACAAAATAGCCAATTTAAACCTCTGTCGATAACCAGTTTACGTGTGCTAGTAAAGCGCTTTCGGGCATTTTCACAAAAATCGGCCATACCAACCTTTGCCAATATTCAGTGAATTTTGAAAACGCTAAATGACTAGTGCCAAATTAACCCAATGTAAACTGTCTACAGTATATCATGTTTACCAGCTTAGACTGACACTAAGCATTGTCTTTGATTTTTATTTTGACTTTTGCACGGCATTGGTTCATGGTCGTACTCATACAAACAAGTGCATGTCTGCAGGTATCAACAATATACGCCTTTGAATTTGCTGCGATCCAATAGATGTAACATAATGATTTTTTAGTTCTATTATTAACAAAATTTCATTCAGATCAGTATGTACAGAAATTTATCCTATGCCAAGTAGAGTTTTAGGGAGATAAGTTGGTAAGATATATCCCGTATCCTGATTTTAAGGTTTCCCTATCCAGAACCTCCATATCTCCTGCTTCGGTGCAGATCTTCTCGCTTCGGTACATATCTTCCCGCTTCTGGTAAGTAGTGGAAATGCAATAAAATGACTTTGCACATGAATGATTTGTTTATTTTAACACCTTAAACTATTGAAATGGCCATATGCCCCTGAAAACTCTACTTGGTATAGGATAAAGCAGTTATATACGGTCGGTTTGGATATTGGGTTCATCCCTCGTGAGATATGCACATCTACCTTCGGTCCCTACGGTCCCTCAGGTAGATATGCATATCTCCCTCTGGATGAACCCCATATCCAAAACCTCCCAGTACATAACCCTTATATATGTTAAATTGTGTAAACGGATAAGACGGAAAATGAGGACCATCTGGAATAAGGTATTATTCCCGGGAAACAATAATTTACAAGTATTTACACTGAGAGTTGTGATTGGTCTGATACCAACTACAAAAAGACATGAATGTTATTGAATCTTTTTGCAGGACCGTTCGTCAGTGCCCTGGCCAACAAAGTGGGATGTCGAGCCGTAACGATTGTTGGCGCCGTCATTGCATGTCTTTCATTCATCCTATCCACGTTCTCACCAAGTTTGGATGTTCTAATTATCACGTATGGCATAATGGGAGGTAAATCAAAAAATTTTAGCACTATAACAAAAATTGTACTCGTGGAGGTAAAGATTCAGACAAAAATGTTTATGACTGTAATCGTTTTTGTAACAAATCTTTGGTATCACAAACAATTTATAATTACTTACGTACAATACTTACAAATGTTATCTTATGTCTCCACGATTTAAAAACACTTATCACAATTCAAAAGTACAATGATATCTAATTCACATACTCAGGGCATTGTAATACATGACGAGAGACAATTAAAAAAGAAGCCCGTACTCTATCATGACTTAAATCTGTTCCATCAAGGAATGCTCTGAGGCCAAATTGCCCATCTTTTTGACAGAGTCATTCGAAAATGTATGTAAATAGGATAAAACAATGAGATGGCTGAAATGAGCAAAATTGAGTGAAAGAAAATGAAAATACACAAAATCGTTATTTAGTCCTATTTTGGGGTCACTCTATAATAGTTGAATTAGATAAAATGTAAATTGTGTCCCATTCACTGTGTTTAAACTTTCGTTATATTTTCAGGTATCGGATTTGGTTTAATTTATCTTCCCTCGATCGTAATCGTGAACTTCTGGTTCGAGGGAAAGCGAGCATTTGCAACAGGTATTGCCGTCTGTGGATCGGGAATAGGCACATTTGTGTTTGGAGCATTCGCACCGCGTCTGATTGCAGCATTCGGTTGGAAAGGTGCAACATGGATTCTCGCAGGGTTGATCTTGAATTGCATTGTCTGTGGAGCTGTATTCAGACCGTTGGAATCCCTCAGCAAGGCACCAAAACGTAAAGAGAGTGAGGACATCGAAATCGGGCCCCTCAAGCCCAGAAAGGGTTCAATCATGTACAAAATTATTGAAGATAAAAAACGCCAAAGAACCATTTCAAGTGGATCAATGGATAATGTAGTTATTACCAAAGACAATAAAGTTGTAGACGCTAAAAAAGCGAAACTTTTTCCAGATAATAAACTGATGGACATTGAAGAAGAAAAACTTAAACCTAAAACAACTGTGCGTTTAGAAAATAACAATGCAATCCATGAACATAATGACAAATCAGAAACACAGAAGGAAACAACTATTATTAATTCTACTCCTAATTTACTAAATATCCACAATAAAGCCTTGGATAGAGTAAGGGCCTTGAAAGGGGCAACCAAGGTCAGTTTCTCAGCTGAGGACTTGAGAAAACGAGTTTTAAAAAAGCCAATACAGACACCAGAAGAAGAGGAGTACGAAAGAAAGAAGAAGGAAGTATCGAGGCCAATGTATCGGCAGGACATATTCTATACAGGCAGTATGAGATCCATTCCAGAGTTCCAGTCTCAGCCGGATATAAGATCATATATTAAAAGCACAACGAGTGTCAATGTACAGAAAGAAGAAGGCAGACTTGGTCCAATCCTGAATGTATTGAAAGATATGTTTGATTTCTCCATCTTGAAGTGTCTGACTTTCGATGTCATATGCTTCATGAGTGTTGCTGCTATGCTAGGTTTGTTTTTCTATTTTATAAATATGATGCTCTCGACATTAGGGAGGTTAATCAACGCGTTTTAAAGAGAACGAATACGTGAACGTCTAGAATTATGCTCCTCATTCGGGTCAATTCTCCCCATTTTAGTATTCACTTGCCCGATCGAGTATACAAGTACAAGAAATATGCTTGGATCAGATCCCAGGAAAATCAAATTGAGAGTGGGATAGTTACCCCTGTGGTGGGGGGGGTCATAATATTAAACGTTCATGCACAATTTCTTAAAACGTATAGGTTAACCTCCCTATTATCGCTAGATAGTTGCCCCTCTCAAGATAGCTGTCCTTCTTGAGATAGTTGTCCTTCTTAAGGTTTCAAGTTGACCATGTTGTATGAGGGACATTTACTTAAAAACAAGACTCTTGAATCATCAAATGATAAACTACAACATTATAAGTATCAGCTCATATATTCAGTTCCCTTTAGTTTCTACAGCTGATCTCCCATTTTTTGTATGAACAATCAAAACTATTTATCTTGTTTTTGTAGGATTTTTTACCCCCTTTGTGTACCTATATATGCAAGCTATACAGTTTGTGGATCCAAACGAGGCTGCATTCCTACTTTCAATAATAGGTAAGTTTCATGGCATTATGAAAATGACAATAGATAATGTGTGCTAACACTTGTAGATGGTAAATCACTTTTAGAAAATGCTTAATTGATTTATTTAACCCAATAAACCCTAAAGTAAAAAAGTCACTCGAACACCTAGGGGGGGGGGTCAAGAGGGCACCTCCTTGTAAAAATTTTATGAGTAGAGCTAGGATGTTCAAACTTTTCCCACAAAAACTTGATTCAATTATCTACAATTTGGTGTAATATTTTGTCTATTGGAGCTGATGATTACATCATATTAAATCAATTACCCTATGTACAATATTGCTGATTTTTTCAGAAACATCATTGATATATATGTAGCTTCAGCTACTGAAGACCATACCAGGTGCCAATAAGGAGTTATGGGAAAAAACTTAACAGGGCTTCTAGGGTTAAAAAAACTAAATTAACGGGCAGCAGTTTCATTTTGTGTGAGGGAGTCAGTCTAATTTAGCGTATGTCCTCAATAATCGTTCCCCATATGTGCCAATAACAATTTTGGATGTTTTACAATTACATGAGCGGCTTTTTAAAAGTATAGGATAGATTCCAAGGATTCTACTGGTTTGTTAGGTTTTTAATATGGTATCCTTGTCATGTTGAATTTTCATGTTTTCTGGTTGTTCTATCAACTTGGTACTTACCAGGGGCGGATATGGGAACCAACAAGGAGGGGGGGGGGGGGCAAATTTCAGGTCAGAGTTAAAAAAAAGTTTGGGCCCCTAAAACCCAAAAGTGAGCCCAAACTTTGAAATCCCCCCCCCCCCGCCATCCGCCAGTGCTTACTGGGCTTACCAATCTAGAAATCATTCTTTCTCTTTGAGATATATAGCTGCACGAAGGATTACACGTACCTAGTAGAATCTTTAACTGCAATATGGATATCTTTCATTTGGACTGTTTTGTTAGTAAACAATAAAAACATGGGTTGTATAAAAATTATATTAAACAATTATTTTGAAAATCCTCTTGATACGTGATTTGTAAATGTTTTTCTGTTCTGATATCTTGCTTGTTATTTCAAAATGCAGTATTTGTAGTGGAGTAGATTTTGATTCAATCCTCGTGGAATCACATCCAGTTTTGTTTTTAGCAAGTGGCAGTGGCCAAAACATTTAAGATTCAGATAGATAAATGGATCCATATTCTTTCTATATTGGGGGTTTTATTCTCGTGTGGTCTTGGTGTTTTATGGTTGCTTTTACCAATGGGGAACTTCTCATTAATTATTTACCAAGAAAGAATAATATAGTTTCTATGAATGAAATGTTGATATTTACCAGTTAACTTACTTTCATTCTCTAAACCATGCCATTGGATAAATGGCAAAAACAACCAACTAACAGCCTACAGTACTGGGAATATAGGCTGATATGTGGGGCATCAAATCAATGCTACGGAGATTAAAACAATCCTAAACCAACCACCGAATAACCGCATATTTTTTATCTTAGGTATATCCAATACAGCGGGAAGGGTTGTAGCTGGTTGGCTCTCTGATCGAACCTGGGCGGATTGTTTAGTCATCAACAACTTCGCACTGGTGGTCGCCGGGGCAGTGTGTATAGCCATCCCACATTGTACCCAGTATTGGATGTTCGTGTTGGTGTGTGTCATCTATGGACTTTGCATTGGTAAGTTAAAGGGTTACTTAACGCGGACAAAGAAAGACGCATTACGACATGATATGGGTGACACTAGTGAGACACCAATATCCATGCATGTTAAAGGTCCATAGGTAGACTGGCCAATTTATTCACCCTGTCGACTACCGACAGCCAACGAGTGGATCATATAGAAAACTGTTCAAATTGTACACCGCGATGTATCACAATATCCATGAGTTTAATTAAAGTAGTTGTCACATTAGCCACGTCGGTTCACAATTCGCCACAGTGTGGCTAATTTTGTGCATTACTTTTGACATCAATTTTTGTATTCGGTGTGATGGGGGATGTCTTGTTGTAAGACTATTTGTTTTGCCCACTGTGTTTCCGTACAGTGTCCCGCCGTCTGCTCCAAAGTATCCACACGGTGGCAAACGGTGGGATCACATGGTCTAAGTCTGACAGCTCCATCAAGAATTGTTGTTTTTCTGTTTTCAGCATGTTTCATATCTCTTAGAACCATAATATTAACGGATCTGTTGGGGCTAGCTATGTTGACAAAATCTTTTGGTATACTGCTGTTATTCCAAGGAATAGCCTCAGTCGTCGGAACACCATTAGCAGGTACATATAAGAATTTAAATATGATAAAGACTGAATCATTAGTGATACCATTCACGAGAAAATACAAATATTAGGAGTCAGTGCAACCGCTAAAATATGTAGAAATCAATGGTCAAAATCGTGCATTGGACTCATCCATAGGCTTAGGGTAGCAGCCGCGAATTCAACTGACGCCTGGCGGTTTAACCTACTATCTTATGGCCAATAAATTTAAATATGAATAGTACCTGCCACTATTCCATTCATATCTAAATATATTGGCCATTAGATTGCAGGTTAAATCGTCAACCGGCGGTTACATTCTCGAATGCAAGCAGATAGCACTTTGTTATATTGCAATTTGATTGGCCAAAAGTTCAGAACATCTGATCTGTCGTCTGTTCTTCTCAAGCAATGACACATTGCATACCGCAAATACCTATGGATGAGGATAGTCATACGATATCCCATTCTGTGTTGTTAAAGGATAGAAGGAAGTTGATTCCATATTTGGAAGGAGTGGTTAACTAGTAGATTCTCTACAGAAAAACAAGTCGTTCCATTGTATATTTGTTGGAATTGACTGAATAACTACATCTGGAATGCATATGGAAAGCAGTTTTATTAAGAAAACTCCGTTGAACATGTAAAAAATTGTCACAAGGTCCGTACATCCATCTTTTCTTTCTTTCAGGGGTTTTGTACGACGAAGAGAACCAAAGTTATGCCATCTCATTTTACTCATCTGGCATTCTGATATCAGTCGCAGGAGTAGTAGGCTTCACTGTAAGAACTCTTAATAAATGGGAAAAGAAACATCGGCCACACTTATTCGAAAGTGGACAGACTCAATATGTACCTGTATCTAGCACTGAGGATTTACCATTACCCCCTTTAGGGTCTGAACAAAATGGACACGCCCAAGCGCCTTGAAGAATGCTGCAAAATATGACTTCTCAATGTTTTATTCTCAATATCTAAAAAGAATTAATGTAAATTATCTAAATTATTGTGTGTGCAGTTTTGTCAAGGATGTCGCCAGCACATTGCCAAATATATATTAACATTTTTGATAGCAGTGTGTTATGTTTACTTCGATGGTGATAAACGCTTATTAAGGTGTCTCTATGACCATAGGCCACGTAAATTAAAGGTGATTTCTTATCAAATCAGGTGATTTGAAGGAGCACAAACACTCCAATGTGATACTTCTACGAACTACAAATACCTCACATAAACAATTGAAATAGTTTATTGAATGGAATATAGGTCTATGTTTATTCATCTGATTTCACAGAAAATAAATCATAGACATATTTCATTCAATAATTCAAGTTTGAACTGATAAGCTTTGGGGACGAACATCTTGACCAGTCTGGTGTTGTTAGAGACAGAGGTTTTATAGGATTAATGACTGAAAGTCAGATTAGTGTATGGGGTTAAACGTGCTTTATCTGCATCAATGTGCTGGCATTGTAGTGCATAAGTAATTATTCGTGCATGTTACAGAGGGATGGCCACATGGTTTTATTAGGACAGGGCAAAAGTTTAAGTGAACGTGCCTGAGAAAGCCAGGTTCATTGATTTATTCGAGATCTTAATTTTGTAAAGCGTAATCAAAAATACTTTTGATAAAATCAATAAATCAATTTACTATCATTCCTAATGATATAAAGGTTGCTACTCAACATAATCGAGTTTGTACCATGTTACATTTTAATAGTCTAAACAGTCAAAAACAACTAAGTTTGATAATCGATGAATTCACACATCTTGAAATTAAAAATATTCCAAATGATAAAAAAATCAGAGTTAGTTGAAACTAAACATAGTCAAGAACTGGATCATCACTTTAAAACTCATTTCATAAAACAGTAACATGTTTTTATAGAATAATATATTTACAATTATTTCCTTCTATAGCCACTCTTAAAAGCGTAAATAGTTTAACCAAAACATCATTATTTACACATGAATATATAATTTAAATTTTCTCAGATTAAAAAGTTTTCAAATTTCTACAAAAAACAGAGAAATAATATTTTCATAACATTATATTAAATAAACTATGTGTACATGGCTTTTAGAAATGGATGTAGAATCTCCCATTAACTCAATGGTCTCTCTCCATAAGGATAATCTTACAAATAATGCATGTACTGTAAAAGCTAAGGAAATTAAAGATAAAAAGTTACCTTTTACAATGTAAGTATGGTTACCATCTAATGGTAAAAACTGACATATTTTAATGGTGTAACTTCATTTTGTTGGCCAAAATGCTTTTTTTAAATTGATTTGTATTTTAAATGAACATAGTAAAGAGGAACTCTAGCAACACGCCTAATAAGCTTTCACAGGGTACTATTCTTAAGATGGTTAGACAAAATGATGACTGGAATAAACTAAATAAATCAGATGAGTCCAGTTTCCTATGAAATATTCTTATCCATGCCTTATGTCCACGCCTTGATATATTTTTCCCCGATTAAAGTATATCTACAGTCACACGATAAATGTGTTACATAAGTAGTCCAATTTACACTACACGCGGTATTCTAAGACGTCTTGGCTAAAACGTTTTAGAAAAATTATGTTGAGTTTACATCAGCATTTTCAAGACGTCTTACGAAATATGATAGAGTTTACACCAGTTTTCCTAGGATGTCTTGGAGATATTAAGTTATACATGTTATATGAAATACCAGTTCAGTTCAGTACTGGTTGAAGGACGGTTCAGTCAATCTGGCTATTCCGTTTCTACTTAGGTTTTTGCTAAAGGATGCATCGGGTTCGCAAATATATATATGTCCTGAAGAGGGCGTTGTTAAAAGCACGAAAGAAAGCAGCACGAGTTGATGCATATATAAGGAATATGGAAGAACGCCAAGCAAAGATGAAGATGGTTCTTCTCGATGTACAATATCGGGAACAATGGCTTGGACAAAAGAAAGGACCATGGGACACATTTAAACAGAAAGTGCAACGCACAAAATCGGACTAAGAGCTCTTAGCTAAAACCGATGGATATACACTCACTTTGTAAAACGTTTTAACGCTAAGACGTCTTGGCTATGACTAGGGTCCTAAAACGTTATAGCTAAGCGCTTTTAGCCGAGAGCTCTTGAGAAAATCTGGATTTACATTACATTTGTAAAACGTTTAACGCTAAAACGTTTTACCCAAGACGTCTTAGGGCTCTAGTGTAAACCCAACAAGTGTTGTTCAACAATAAATCAAGAGGCATCATCAAATGGGACGTATGCAGGCATCTTTCCTTTAGTCTCTGATCCCATCCACGTTTCGTTTGTCTGAAAGTACATTATGCGTATTAAAATGTAGAATTTGAAAAGTTGAAGTGTATTTTAGTAATTAACATATTCAGCAGACAACAATGACTTCTTGAATGGTAAAAGATACATTGTCTTAAAGTTTGAGAATACGTTTACCTGACAAAGTACATGTCTTATAAGAAGTTGACAAAGTTCAATATGGTGGTATGATTTGGTAAATGATTCTCCAATTTTCTTTTTTTTGAATTAACAGGATTACATCACGTCTGTGTTCCACTCATGTTATTTGATAATAGGAGGTTAGACTGGTATACCCACAATAAGCCCAAAGTGTGTTATGGAATTGAATTACCTCTTGTGGTTCAGGTGTAAACTCTCTATCGTGTATATTTAGGGTTTGTAGCGTCCAGTCAGGATTCTTGGTGTTGCGTCTCTTTTCTTCGTCCTCCGCCTCGGCCTTCCTACGTCTGCGTTCAGCAATGATGTCCTCGTCAAGGAAACACAGCGGGAATAGGATGATAAAGGACTGTACAGAGAACACGAAAATGAGGAGCAGTGAGATTCACTATGACAAAGGACCGGATATAGTATGGCAAGTGATTTTGGACAGTCATATCTTTAACCATGAGAACATGTACTTTCTATCCATAAACATATTGGTTTTTGTTAAAACAATATGTTTTCCTTCAAGTGATAATAAAATGCCAATCCAACTCACTGAAACTTTTTGCATTGGGACCCCAACTTGTCACTGTTTTAAAAATGGTTGAGAAATAGGGATGGAAACCAGCCATAGTTTTCTGCTGATGAACATTGTGAATTATTGTGTTTTATGGACTATAACGATGGTTCTGCGAATGAATGTTGACCCATTGAATTGTATATGGACTTCCAGATTGGATGTCGTCTATCCCACATCATTTGAGACTGAATGCTCTACCTTTTAAGAATACTAGTACCTACAACTATTTTTGATGTTCTGAGTATTGGCTATCAATTTCTCAGCATATATTGGAATGACCGCAGTATGAATGAAATGTCACTTGGTGTTCTGGTCCTGGATACTAGCTCTATTAGCTCTCGATTGGAAATACATTATTTCCCTTCACATTAGATCATGTTTTTTAGAGTCTATTTCTCTTATTACAGGTTTACACTTAGCGTTTGCTTTTGTTGCTAGGTTTCTTTTAATACAGTTTTGGTCCTTTTCATTTGGATTCAAGAATATGATCTCGCTTTTCTCAATTTAAATATATCAAACGTTTCTTCTACATCATAATAACTTCTGAAAAGGGGTGGGCATTGACATGCGATAAAGTTGAAAACCACATATCACATGTTATTTTCCCATAGGGAATACTCATGCTATCCATTGTTTTTAGCATAACTTTGATATTTTCATAACTAGACTTCCATAAACCATTCTAATTTTGAAGAAGTGTTAGACCCATTGTTGAATAATCTTTTCATGCAATAGCAGTCACCAATACTTACGAGAAGTACGTTTCCTCCTAATGCGACATATGCAGATTCGTATACATCCACATTCCATGCGATACATAATGCGATCAGAAGTGCAAGTACTCGCTTCATATACCCCCTGTAACAAAGTGGAATGATATAAAAGCATAATTATTATGCAAAATTTGATTGTGTAATTAGTTTAAATATCTCCACCAACTTGTAATTTATTTCCAAAGAATATCCATGCTTTGCCTACATTGAAATTTAAATACCGTTTGCTTCAACTTTCATTTAAATTAAAATTACGTTTTGCATCTCGAATTATATTTAAATGAAATCACTTGCTGAAAATTATTAATATAGATGTAAACCAAATACCATTTTGCATCCTTTTAAATCAAATACCATTTTGCATTCATTTAAATCAAATATCATTTTGCCTCTAATTCCACCTAAATTGAATACCGTTTTGCTTCGAATTCCATTTCTCTATCAGCGTCATTTGTGTCAACCATCTGGGTTCCCATATAACTAAAGCCCTTTGCCCAAACTATTACACACACCTGGAAATGGAAATATCCATTTTAAATCGGATATGAAATATAAACTCAAAAGAAACAAGCCATTGAATTTCATTGCATTGTTTTGTGACAGCGAATGATATAAAATTACTACTACAATTTTTGGAATTGTGAAAAACTCAGCTATTTTAGCAAAGAGGTTTTAATGTCACACTTGATGTTCAGTTGTGGAAATATTATATTGTGTGATACCTATAAGAATATATATTTTAATTGTTAGAACTATAGAACTATAAATATGAAACACTTACCAATGTAAACACACCCAGTGGAATAAACCATCCTAGACTGACCATTTCGGTATGGGTCAGCCAGCATCTACAATGTAATGGTCAGATTACATAAAACTGATTTTAGACCCCTTGCCATATATTGCATCATTATGCATTGTCCCTTAGAAGATACGGCATTATATACGATAAGACCTCTGTGATAATCCTTATTGGATAATCTCTTATCCAAAATTACTCAGGACTATGATGATGATACAACATGAAAATGAAATCAGCATCTTATTTTAGGTGGCTTAATTACAATACAATATGATACTATAATATAATATCATATAATATTATGTTATATTATATAAATGTCATGATATAATATCATATAACATAATATAATATAATAGGATATAATATAATATGATATATGAAATATATTTCCATGTAGACTGTATCAAATATGGTGTTAACTCACACCAAATTCTGCATGTCCATGTACTGCTCGAACCCTATACCAACTGAGACTGCTGATACAAACAGTGGAATACCCCAACAAAATATTGCATAAACGATTCTCTTTCTCCGACCGATGGGTTTGCATTCCTCAAAAGCCTATAAAACAAGCGTTTTGGATAGAAGGGTTGATGATAGTTCTTGGATGCAGGTTGACTTCATTTAACAAAATCTTTACAAAATGGTTATACGATACTATTTAGTTATGAGAGAGAATGAGGTTATAAACTGTACATTTTAATCTTGAATTTTGTTTCACAAAAGAGTATCAATATTTAGAAAATACCTGTTTGTATAAAATAACAATTAAACAAAGTGTCCACACGATTGTCACCAAGAATAAATATTGCATCAACGCTGCTACAAATATACAGCCAATCTGAAACAAAAAAACACATCAAAGATGAAGACCTCACTCCACTTATCAGTCAAGCCAAGTAACTAAGTCAACATTCGAAAATAAAAATCTCAAAAATCGTCCATCTTTGATTTCCAAAATAATTTTTGAGGTGGTTATTAAGATGATAATACATCTTTTAACGTATTAATTTTGAGTACATCTTGAATCCATTCTCAACAAAGCGTTGTCGAAATAAGGATTCGAAATATTTGAGTTCGGGATGATAAAAGTACGTTAAGATATACCGCTCCTTAACAAACTCCTTTGGGAACAAGATATAGAATCAAATGCAAATTCTTCTTATTTACTCCCTGACACATGGCAAAGAATGTTACATCAGTTAATATCTCCGTTTTAAATAATTTTGTAAAACGTTGTTCTCTACAGGTGCCATTTTTACAATTGAAAAACAAAATTAAACATTTTGCATTTCTAAATTGATAAGTTTCTTGGAATACAACTTAACTGTTAACGATTTAAGTCATTAAGAATATTTCCCTCAGTGATCCCATGCTAAATAGACAGTAACTAGGTTATTATTTTGTGTTCAACCTTGTTTTCGTGACTTTTAAACATGAGTCGACAATTATGTAGGAAATTTCAATTCCAAATGTAAGCGTGTCAACTCCTGTTTTTGCACAGAATTTAGCCTTTTATAAAGATAGATCGCCAAAATCTGCATGTACCTCTCAATGAGGCGACACATTTTCAAATTTATAGATGCTAAGCTCTTAACTCAAACAAAAATTCAAACCACCCGCTATTATTTTGATTACATAAGACGAAATTTCCTCTCCCGGGGAGCACTGTGGTAACACTTTGAAGGAGGATTCTTGAAAAATCGTTCGAATTTTCACAAAAGGTTTCACGCAGTTTTATTGCTTTGTTTAAGCCTCGACTAAAATCATACTCAAATCCGATACCATAATTATAAATTAAAATGAAACATTAAACACAGGTCAGGTTATATAATAAACCGTTTCGAGAATTGATGATTTGAGTTAACTGTGTATATTCAAATAAATGAAAGTCGGCATGTATTCGACAGTTAATGTAGACACATGATGTATGCATCCATGTGTGACTTAAATATCGATTCATGACTATCATATTTGGCTTTCAAAAATTAAGTTGGAAGTTACAGTGGTTGGAGATTAACGAAAATGTCAATCATATCCGAATATCCGAACGACGTCAAGTATTAGCAATACCCTTTTTGTGCATCTCGAACAAGGCAAGGTTCTGTGATCCAGCAATGTGCATTCCGAAAGAAATAATTCACAAATATCAACAAATTTCATTGAGTTGGATATTACATTCGAAATCACAACTTTCGAAATGTTTGTTTTAAACAAGAATTGTAAGAACTTAAAACATGTTGTTAGTTTTTTAAACCGCATATCCTCATTTACGTTCTTTGACAAGGATGAATTCATTTGAAAACATGGATTTTCTTGATTATTCTTCAAAACTACCCTTGAAATATAAGTGTGTGGGATATTACAGTGTAAATTGACACGCATTTGTTTCCTCCATATCATGAAAAAATAAATGCAGTACCATCTTTCAATATTTGAAAACAAAAAGTTCATTCTTCATGTAAACAAGAAAAAATACATTTATGTTTGATTCATAATGAAAAATGACAAATAACATACATGTTTTTAAGTAGGGGTATACAGGGACATAGTGGAAATTCAGAAATTTAGGCCATATCCCAAAGACTGCTTCACCAATATGTAACAGAACGTCAAATTTATCATTTACACGTTTGCTGATAGGTTTATTGAAAATTATTAAACAGAGGTTTACTTCAATTGTGGCACCATTCTTAGTTAAGATTGATGGACATACGAATATCGAATGTTGACTAAGTTACTTGGCTTGACCGTTATATACAAGTATCATATAATTTCTAAAGAACAGTATTTTGTGCCTAACTAGGCAAGTCTGGTTAAAACTGAAAATTAAAGGTTTCAATCTGAATGTTGTGTCATTGCTTACAATGAGAGTACAGAAAGAGGAATGGTACGAAATACTGTACCTGATCACTAACAGCTGTCCATCCTGCCATATATGTTAATGTAGCAACAAATGCCGCACCATAGATGTTCATCAATGCAAAATACTTGTCTTCCCAGAACATTCTACAGCCAAAAATGGTAGGTTATTGGACATGGTTACAAAAAGTAACAATTTTGGTCAACGTTCATGTTTGACGTGATAGCTTGTAGCTACCAGTATGCACGGCAGGTTCTATTGATATCTAAATGAGTTCGCCTTCAAATTACAATCAACCCAGTAGCTGTTATTTGCATTCACGAATATAAGAAAAGAAAATTGTAGAGAACAGCATCACAAGCAAAGAGCAAAGATGCAACATAAAAACGTACAAAGACACAAGTATTGCCGTCCTAAGCCTATCCAGTCCAAGTTGCATTTCTTAGATTCAAAATTTAATAGTATGTCGACAGTTTGATTAACTAAGAACATATTTTATAATACACATGACTAACCTTAGAATACAGTACATAACAATTGCTATAATTATGGATACAAGTTGAATTAATCCCCCAATAATAGCAGCAGGGTTGTGATATGGTACTCTGTCCGATGGCTCCTAAAAATAAAACGGATATTGGTCATACCAAATATGGTATATGAGGTATAGTGATCATCTCAGGTGATATATTATAATACACTATACTATAGTAATATAATATGATATAATAAAAAACATAATATAAAATAAAATTTAATACAAATATGATATGATATAATTTAATATAATATATTACATTATAATATATAACATAACAATATTATAATATATACATTACCCTTGTTGTATCCATGAGTACTGTGAAACTTGTCAAGTGGTTACACTCACAGATAATGTAGTCATTTGTGCTAACTTTAATTCGACATCCATCACTTTGATACAGACTGAAACAAAAATCACTGCAATATATTCAATTTTAATATTAAATTCTATAAAACTTATCTTTACTAGAATAGCTCTGTTTCGTTTTCGTGGAAAATTACACCGCCCTGCTACTCCACCGTTTAGTATCAGGAGTGGCGTTTTATATTTGGTATTTTGATCCTGTTGGAATAATATAAATTCATATGTTTTGAACTATAAACTAAAATTAACTCACTTGGATTTACTTGTCGTATCAATGTAAACACATTTAGGATCCACTGATGTCTGAAAATAAAATAAAATTATCATCATGGAATTTCTAGTGACACCATGTCATTACTAACAAGTGGTATGTGTATGTATATCGCATGTTACATAACACTTTTACTAATGTATTATTCTTTGAAATACCCATGGACATTGTTAAATTACAACTATCACCAATAAAAAATCATGAACTCTAAAAGATATATCTCAATAACAAAAAACTTAAATAGTACCTTCGACTGATAAAGTTTAATGGTCACTGGTTTTTCTAAAGGAACTGACGCTGGTGGGTCCAACTTTATTGTGAACACCTCCGAGTTAACAGCCCTAGGAGCAGCTCTGGAAGAGATTACACACCAATGTTACCAAGTAATATGTATAATTATTATATTTTCATATGTTTGTTTGTTTGAAAATTTATATAACCCGGTATTTTCATTTTTCTTGTTTCTTTTGAGCTGAATTTGTATGCCCTATCAAAAGTATGAATCTAAAATTTATGCTTATCTAATACCCTGTATCACTGTTTGTGATTGGTTTATCTGATATGGCTTCTTTATTTTCATTGGGCATGATCTCATCGAGGCTTGTGTACGAGATAGTGATGAGTCCCCTCATATCTCTATACAGGTCTGTTGCACCTGCGAACAGAATAAAATACTTTCATATATATCTTAATTATTCGAGATTTGCGTGAGACTGATAACAAATGCCGACGCTTTTCAAATGGAATATATTCTAAATATATAAATTTTAAGAGAATTATTATAGTGCTTTTTGTTGATGGATGTGTAAGTTTTTGTAAACTTACAATGTTAATGTCCACCTACTTTTTGGGCATCGGTAGTGCTGAAGTATCTCTTTGGGTATTATTCCATGGGAAATACGGGGATCTTGATAGGCTAAATCCCCTCGAAGGTGCTTGTTGTAAACTATCGCAGTTTGGGATTCTTTAGGGTATTGGACATTTGTTGTCGGACATCTTGGTGTAAGTTGCACGCAAAAATCTATAATAGCTCATATAATTAACATGGAGAGAGCTCTTATAATACTTATAAAATTGAGTTGCGTCCATCTTGATCTTGATTGAAAAATGAGACAGGTTTGCTGAATGGTCTGTTTTCACTTAACAAGATCAAAAGGTACTTATTAACATAATGACTTGTTGATTTTTAGGAAGTTCGAGATTATATATTCACCTCGATCAGGTTATAGTTTGTTTCAAAGGTTAACAACATCAAAATTTACTTACTAATATAACGTTGACCTTTACAAAGTTCTAGTTCATTTTCATCTTTTTTAAGGAGTGAGACAACTTGGGAACCCAGTCTCTCCATGGTCTCGAGGATATCTGCTAGACTGTTCGAATTCTCGTACTGTTCCTCCTGTCGTTAATTAGAGTTATGACATGCCTATGTTAATTCATTCCGATTATCACAGAAAGTCGCGAGTTCAAGTCCTGTTGATAAGGGACGCGTGTGAATGCATCTCCTGATTTTTGTCCTTATTTTAATTTCAACACTTGAGTCAGTAAGTCTTGAATGTTTATTATTGTTAATTTTCGTAAACGGAAAATTTCTATAGATTTACATTGGGCTTTTTAATGTATTTACATTTACAAAGAGACATAACATAAATGTGAAATACTGTACACGTTTTCGTATTTTAGTCCATTTGTTACACAACCAACACTACATGTATATCTAGTAATTATGTCTACACGTACCTTTACTATTTCTATCCACAGTTGCTTGTGGTCCGGGTCGAGCATGGAATTCAAGCCTCGCAGGACATCCTACAATGAAATAATGGACGATTCCTTAATGTAAGTCTGAAATATTTGAAAGTTGTACATACAGTGAGACATAAATTATGATTCGATAAAAATTTCGATGGCATCAATCCTGGACGCAGGATTCATATGTGCATATGAATCCTGTGTGAATTCTGCCTCCAAGATTCAGTGGTTTGATTCACTTTTCTCCTGTGTTGAGCAATTCACGAAAATTTTATTTAATTTAGATTTTTACGCTTTTGCCACCCTGTAAAACTATACTAAAATGAATTGTTTAAATCAAAGATTGCATCAACCTCAACTTTTTATTATTGATCAATGGTCCATGTCTTAATCGTGAATAAAATATGAGAATCTAAACTAAAATAGGGTTGTTCACATTGTAAGTGAATGATGCAGTAATCCTTACTAGTACAAATTCTTTTTTCGCCGGAGTTGCAACTTCTTCTAATCCGAGAAAATCTAGGTTAACCAACATATTAAATATGATCTTGCATTGTAGAACTTCTTCTATACTGAAAATGTTTCTTGTGTCACAGAGGGTTTTGAAATCATCCAAGACACTAGCCCTTATTTGGTCATCTCTCCCCAAAAACGCAATCTAAAAGACAACATTTGAGGCAAGTTTATCTTTCAGTTTAATTAGGGGCAACTTAGGACATACTCAAACATAATCTGTTATTTCTGCCTCTACAACTCATTCTTAGTTTTACTTGGGGTGGAGTTTTTGTCATTCTTTATTCAAAGGTCTTCATTTATTCCTCAATTTAGAAAAAAATGAAATACCCTTAAATCAAGAATGCGTCTTTAGCCTATGTCTAAGCGAGCTTAGTATCATTTACCTGAGCTTCAAGTTGAACCATTTGGGGTGATTTGCAGTTAGATATATCCAAGTTTCCCCAAACTCCACCTGGCAAACAACGCCTTTTAATGGTACCTACAACAATGTACAAAGTACATTGTATCTCTGTACATTGCATTACAAAAAGCAAAGTGAAGCATACTTTAAAAATGGGTTAAAATATTTGATCGAGAGTCATCTTCACTCCTTCGATATTACTTCCTGTATTTATTCAAATAAGAATTCGATATTTGTGGTCCATTCAATTAAATAGAAACAGGACGTTTGGCGGTTTTGGGGGCTGTCGAGTTGCGTCAATGGGTTTTATTAAAACACAGCGTCTTAGACTGACCATCGTAACCCCGGGGATCGCGGTGTCTACATTCACACCCCTCCCGGCGATGACCAGTCTAACAGACAAGCTTATGCCATCTAACCAACCGCACACGCCTTGTTTTGTTATTTTATTGGGAGAGGGACCCAGGACATTAACAGGACAGCTTTTATCGTTATGACGTTTACTGATCTCCGGTTGTACACAATTTCAACCCAATATTGGTAATTTAAAAGCTCTTTATTCATCAATAGGTTATGACGACTTCAAAGGACAGGTTATGAGAAAATCGAAAAACAGATACTGTTCGTCATATCCTCTTTATTTTGTATTTTGTACTCAAATCGTTGGGTGAAAGCATTTTTATGAATATGAATTGTTAGATGCTTTAGAAGTTTGAAATATTATTATGCGGGCACATTGGTATTGTATCCTGTTTTATACTATTTCATTACACTGCTCAGCATCAGTGGTTTTCAAGTTATGGCCCATGGGCATTTACATGAACAGAGAACCACTTCATGCTTATTCCGGTGTTGATCAAATCGATCAGTGTATAATGAAATGTTTGTTGCATGTAACCTGCAAAGTGATCAACTTTAACGAGGAAAGTAGAATATGCGAAGTACTTGATTCAGTTGACTGTAACGTAACTCGAGGTAATGGGACATGGAGAGTTGCACATTCGATGACAGGTAAAAATCTTTTTTTTGGTTTTGTTACACCTTACTTATCATTAGTTCAATTTAATTAAGTTTTTCAAATCAAATATCGTTTTGCATTTTACATCTTACCCGCTAGAAGCAGAAATGTACCATTTGTAGTGCAATGGTCAAAATTAAACATTACAGAACTATAGACCACAAAATCTATGATAATTTTATTGATTTACTGAGAATACTGCATATAGCAACTTTTGCAAAACTGAATATAGTAATTGGAAAAAGATACCACAAGGTGGAATATTAAACTTTTAGTATACATTCAATAAAGTAGAAATTCTGTATGTCGTAATGTGGAGTTTTTGTTTGATCTCAGGTACATCAGGATCGCTTCGATCAAACATATAGATGCTTCTCCTTGTCAGTCCTGTTAAGTTGACCATGATATATTATCTGGTAATGTACACTACATTTCTATTTCAGCATCTGGTTGTGGTAGCCAAACGCGCATAGGTTGTTATGTGGATGTACGGAGAGATCGAGATCTTCCATTTGAAGGAAATGTATCCACATCAAATAATCACCCTGACAACTGCGCAGCTACATGCCGAGCAGCCAGCGGTAGTAAGTTTGAGTTTAATTACGAAGTTGATCTGTTGTCACCTTACGTAGATGCTGAGGCATCCTTACATTGAAAAGGAGATGTGAAGTAAAGCATTTAAAATGATTGAATGAAATAAGCAACAGTATGCCATAAAAAACTAAGCCAACCTTTCATTTGAGTCATATTCGCATGGTGAACATGACTAAACATAAAACAAAATCAAACCATCTGTAAAAAAAATTAGACGACGTTATATAATTTTTTTCTGAAAGCTAATTGCTCTGAGTTGTATTTGAAATTCGGTAATATCTTTATTGTTTAGGTTACATGTATTTTGGTGTTCAATACGGAAGTCAGTGCTTCTGTGGATCGACCTATGGGAGACATGGATTGGCATCTGATCAGTCTAGCTGTTCGATGCCTTGCACTGGGGACCCATCGATCAACTGTGGTGGCCGCTACAGACAAGATGTTTATAAGTTGTATGATTTGCCTTAATTGCAACAAATTAGTCAATGGACGGACATACCAAGAAACACCAACGTGAAAATATTTTATTCTCAAAGAAGTATATGTAGCCTATTCTTTTAAAGAGCTGCGTATACCTCCAGGGGGATTAAACACAGAGTTCAAAGATGACGTATGCTTATAATGTAAACCTGCACTGAGATGACCTACGTCTCTGATTGGTCAAAATCGACAAACAAATATGGCGGCCTCAAAATGTTCGAAATACGCTTCGAATAATATTATTTTCATTTCTGGCGTATTAACCAATATCATAGCTTATCATTTCATATCAAGATAAAGAAAGTTGTACGGAATATGCCTACATCAATTAAAACATCTCATCGAAGCGTAATATTTGGAAACTAGCCGGTGAAAATTCGAACAAACGAAGGTGGTAAGCAAGAGAAGAAATGATGTCTGTTATCTCCAAGCTCTGGGGTGGGGCGTTCACTCCTCTTGCATACCTTCCCGTATAAATACAAAATGGCGACTCCAGACGAGTCCACTAGATCAGTATATTTATGGGAGTTCGGTATATTCCAGTTTATTCAAATCGCCGGCGTTCCCTCCTCTTGTATACCTTACCGTATAAATACAAAATGGCGACTCCAGACGAGTCCACTAGATCAGTATATTTATGGGAGTTCGGTATATTCCAGTTTATTCAAATCCCTTCATTACACACTGACCTCAACCTATACACCATTGAGTATTATTCTGGGATCGTGCCTTTTATACTAAACGGTGAGCAACACCAAAAACAGAAAGATAATCGATTATGTGAGGACTAGATGTGGATTACATAATTATTTCTGATATTTAACTATTGCAAGTAATGTGCTGTGAGGTCCAAGTGAAACGGAAAACCATGGCCATGATTAAAGCTAGTTTAAATTGTATAGTTTCTAAATAGCTGAATATAATATGTCACCCTTGTTTGTCTTTGATTTTCTTGGGACACGCCTCCATTCAGTTCGATGCTAGAAACTTACAATAGTCACTTAATTTCATGATTTGTCAAAAAGTGTTGGTTGAATCTGTCTGAAACTCGAATGGCATACTGTCGGATGATACTGTTAATGAACATATTGTGATTAAACATAAAAATGTTGGTTGTCATACGAATAAGCCAAGGTTTTAATGAATCTTAGCATTGCACCAATGGAGATTTGGCCCAAGTTCTTTTTAAATGTCATGGAAAATGATTTAAATGACATAACTGTGTACATCAAACTTATTTTGGGAGAAAACTTGTCACTAAATTCAAATATGCTATCAAAAATAAAGAAAAGTAAGTCATTAGAGGTAATAAGTGTAAATCTCTAAAAATCTCACGAAAAAACTAGATTTAGGGAGATTTTAAAGCTTTTTAGAAACTACTCTATTGCATAACTTCAAGTTGTGAGGGTGTGTTCACATTTATTAATTATGATGTGATTTAATGTTGATGATATCTCATGTAAACATGTATATTAATAAACAAACATAGTAAAAAAAGCGACTCGAAAACGTATTTATCAAATTACCTATGTAAACCCCGATTTTCGTGATTTTTTTAGTAATCCCGATTTTCTTCTGATTTATTTTTAGTAATCCCGATTTTCTCCAGATTTTTTGGAATTGTTGATATAGTTTTTGTACCCCCGATTTTTCTCCAGATTTCTTTCTAGAAATCCCGATTTTTCAGAAAAATTCAGATTTTCATTCCAATTTTTTTAAAAACGTTATTTTAATATCCCGATTTTCTCCCGATTTTTGGAATTGATATAGTTATTGTAACCCCGATTTTTCTCCAGATTTCTTTCTAGAAATCCCGTTTTTTCAGGAAAAATTCCGATTTTCACCCCGATTTTTATTTATTTTTTACTTGACAGGTATGGTATTGATATGACCACTTCTGATGATCATCATCGATTTGAGGTGGAATCTAATGCTAAAAACAAGCACCTGAACTTCTACAATCTGCAAGTGTAGTTTATAAGACGCGTGGTGTAAGACTGAGTACCTGTACGTATAAATCGCCCTATACAAATGCATGTAGTTTTCTCACATAAAACAATCGTTCGGTCACAGTGTTTGCTTAGTCCGTTACTTAGACTACACATCATCGTGTACTATGCCATTGATAGTTATACAGCTGGTTTTCTATGATACATATTTTAAACATGCTCGTTTCGTAAGATATTTAGACATACATCATTTTCTTCAGAAAGCATTATACTATGCATCGAAATCAAAATTGCCAGCATTGTACTCAAATGACATGAGTATAATGTTTCCCGTTGCAACCAACGTGAAATTGAAAATCTCCCGTTCTAAACACAACTCTGAAGCTGATCGGGTATCTGAAGTAGACTAGCCTAAGTAGGCGCTTCTTTTGTATGCGCGCTTTATACATTGCTGTATTAATTCATTGGCTTTGCGTTCACGGTTGCGCTGTGAAAATATCTCTAGCTTAAACTCTCAAATGTCTTACCAATAAAACCCTCCAAGCAATTCTGTTCCGACTCTTCCCATATCTCTGTTGGCAACCATATAGTTCTGTTAGTCACAAATAGAGGACACTTTTCAATGACTGAAAGAAAAACTTATGATTCAATTGATAAATATTAGTACAAAATAGATGAATGTTTACAAAATTGATGTACTCTACACATTACGTTGTAATCACCTTGAATGTAGCCCTATATCTATTATTTGATAGATTTTTAAACGATACTTTTCACGATTATCTTTATCATGTTGTACGTAATTGTATAAAAATGTATAAAAAATCAAAATCATCATAAAAATCTGTTTTGTATTGTGTGAATAATGACCTCATGTATGATAAGCTTACCATTGGGCATAGTGCCTCCATCCCATTCTCCGCTGCCATTAATTGCCATATTGCCACCTATAGGTCCAGTTGTTGTAGTCTTATTCACCATTGCAAGTGTGGAGCCAATTGCAATAATATCTGTAGTTGTAGTGAACAGTTCGGTAGAAGTGTCGACCAAATCAGGATAGTCGTTTACATATATTGCACCAGATCCGTCCGGGCAAGTCCCTTTGTAACACTTAATCTTTTCAGTTTCAATGTTTGAAATTGCACTTGCGCCAAGACACTTCGCTCCGTTAAACTCCGGAGGTGGATTGTCACACCTACGCACCCGAGATTGTTCCCCTAACCCACAGCTCACGCTGCACTCGCCTGTAGACCATTCGGACCATTGGCCATCAACTATAAGAAAATTCCAAAAGGAAACTACCAGAACAAGGGTACATTTTTATGCGCATTATAACAAGGATTTCTGGATAGTGATTTACCAATGTGTTGGGGTAAAAATAGAAGTGTATTTCTTATGTTTATTCAGTGCTGAATGACCTTTATCAGTTTTTAATTGTTTATTATCATGTATACTTTGTATTCTGTTTGCCTAACAAATGTTAATGCTATTCACTCGCAATTTTGATACGAATCTTTACCTGGACAACCTCCTTCATTGCAGAGCATGACTTGAGATTGTGAATTTGAGAATTTGTCACATGGTTTCCCATTGCCGGAAGTAGGTGGATTGCTACACATGCGCACTCGAATTTTCTGGCCTGGACCACAGGTCTGAGAACAATCTGTGAACTTTGGCCATTCAGTCCAGCCTCCATCCACATCTGGTTCATCTAAGAATGCAAAGCAGAATGAACGAGAGGCATTAACATGCAAAATGCTGCCATTTGTTACAGACGCCTAACTCCGAACGACAACCTCCATACACCGTCACAAAAATCCTGAAGGCCATGACAATATCCGAAAATATGACAAAACAAAAATTTATTTGAATTCGTAAGTAACGAATGTAACGTAAGTAACTCGTGTTAACGAGGATGTCGGCCATGCACTATTCCTGGTTTTTAGTCTAACTCCAAGCCCTCTGTGTGAGAAGGTGTTTAGTCAAGTAGAGGGGGGAGTCACAGAGGCTTGTAGCCAGACTATCATTAAGGAAAACTCACCAACTACACAATCTTCCAGCGTGCAGGGCCTTGATTGAGTGTTCAACTTAGGACAGAATGAACCTCCATTAGCAGGAGAGGGATTGTCGCATGATCTGATTCTACTCTGAGCGCCTTTTCCACATGTAGTGGAGCACTTGGTCCATTCCTGCCATGGTCCCCAGTTACCATTCACGACTAAAATCAAATTATTCAAAATTGTGTTTGGTTTCTTTAACGACTATGTAAACATATGTCCAAAAAGGAGATCGACAATATGTAAACTGTTTTCTAGCGCGTTTTACATGCACCTGGGCAACTGATTGTATTGCATTGCACTTCTTCCATATTCTCCCCATCGCATTCAGTTCCATTGTATTGGGGGACAGGGTTGGAACATGTTCGAGTCCGAGCCTTTTTACCGCCATTGCACGTCACTGAACACTCGCTGAAATCTGACCATTCTGACCATCCACCATTCACTACAAATAAAAAATGTGTCCATTTATTTTATTTCATGAACGGACATATTGTACGCCCACCTCCCCTCCATAAGTTTGGCAACCGGGAGACTTTATTGGATGACATGTTAAAGCAATGCTTGAATCTCAATTTTGATTGATGTGATTGTTTTTTTAACTCGCGAAACATAAATAGGCTTTGACACGTGATCCAAAGTGGAACTTCCGGTTGCCAGAGGGGAGTGTGTATCGTTAATATAAATATAAATATCACATGTTTAAAAATACTGAGAATGTATTAAAATAGATATTATCGCTTTTTGAGTATTATTATTATTTTTTTTTTATTTGCCAACACTTTTATAACAGTGGCACATGGATTATTATCCAGTGCGGCTACATACAACTATACAATATGAATAGAATACAAAGTCATGTATAATTTCTTTAAAACAATGTTGCATATACTAAAATAATCAAAGACATAAATCTCTGGGCTTGTATACTTGGGTTAAAAAGCGTTTTACAATGCTATCAAATAATCTAAAATAGTCTTGCCCCCATTTTGAAAAAGTCTCATCACCATCATCATTAACGAAATCTAGGATGAATGCTTTCTCTTTATCCTAGCTAAAATACAAGTCGCATTGTCTAATCAAGGAACCACCCATTGTCAGTGTAAAGTTCTATTTTAAATAACATTCATAAATTATCAAAGTGAAAATTGCTGAAATCCTATGTGGAACTATGTAAAATGTTTCTAAATTAATCACATTGCTTGATGTAAGACGATGTTAGATGAGTTAATGAAAACGATTAGGCTCTAAACCTGAATTAAAAAATATAGCTGTTTGAAATTCATTCGAGTGAAATATAGACATTACCTGCACATTTATTTAATTCACATGGCACAGTATCTATACTTGATCCAAAGCAGTCATACCCGTCATGAGCCGGCACTATTTCATCACAGACTCTTGTTCTGGTACGTAGACCCATCCCACAAGTTAGTGAGCATTCACTAAATGCTGTCCAGCTGGACCATTTACCATGGACTACAAGTTAGGTAATAATGAAAGATTTTGTGAAATGCATATTGTATATGTAAATAGTCATACCATTTTCAGTATTAATCAAATTTTTGATTGAAATAGTCGAGAAAACCGACCATAAATTAAGTACATTACATCATTCAAAATCCTTATCTTTAAAGTTCAAGAGTTGAAAGAAACGTTTAATAATCGGGATTGATTTTTTGTTCTTTGTACCTGGACATGGTCTAAAATTACATGCAACAACTTCAACGGCTCTCGTCCTGTCCTCCTCAAGTCCACCTGGACAAATGAGACCGTGGTTCTGGGGAGGCGGGTTGTCACAGAATCTTTCCCTCTTTCGGAATCCACTGTCACATGTCTTAGTACATTTGCTTATAAAAGCCCATGGTCCCCATTCCCCGTCAATAGCTAAAGGTGTAAGAAAATGATGAAGACTTAGCAGTTGTCTTTGGTTTTGTTATATCTTATTTTGGAGAAATCAAAACGAGGGAAAGAAAGCTTGCTAAAAGAAATATTATTACGTGATGTGCTTTTATGTGAGTATGTATATTCTTTTTGTACAACTATTTATACAAAGTATGTAGAATAGTTTTGCGTCTTTAAAGTGAATCACGTGATGGAATTATTACAAGAGTTCACCTGGGCAAGGGAAGTCGTTGCAGCTCTGATCCTCAATACTGTCTCCTGCACAGGGGATTCCTCCGTTGGCAGTAGCAGGACTATCACACATACGTGTGCGTATCTGAGTGCCCCCTAGGCAGGAGGCTGAGCAGCTACCCCATGTGCCCCACCAGCCCCATTCTCCATCAACTATAACAAATATCAAGTAGTCATTTCTATTATCGTCCTCTATTTTATTATATCAAGATCTAGAATAATCATTGAAACTCATTGACAATGAAGAGAACGACTCTACAACATGTTTGTATCAAACTTCCCTTACATTCTCAATCTTCCATTTTTATACTCTTCACATCACGATTTTAACATATGACGAATTCAAAATTAGATGCATCAATTATACCAATCGCTAAAATTATGCAAGAGCGTTCAATGACTGAGAATTTGACTTTACCAAATACTAGTACCAACAATCACTGGTCCCCACCTGGTTACAAAGACGTTACGTCTTTATAACAAAATGGATGAACTTTTGTCGGAGGAAATTTTATTTATTATTCATCATTTTCACAAAGAAGGAGGTCGATGTGTATCCAAATATATTACCTGTTAATCGTAACATTTGGTTTCTGAAAAGAGAATAAGTTGCGAGCATATACATCCAAGGACCCCAATGATCGAGTGATAGGCTATAACACAACGCAACCAAGACGTTATTAAATTCACCAGATGACGGCCACGCCTGGTTGCTGAAGTGAGGGGATTCTCAATCTATTATTTGAGCTGCTGGATACATTTAAGCCCGGTATACACCAATGGGGCAAAATCCCACTTGCCCCATCGAGTCTCATCTTGCCCCATCGAATCCCAATTTGCCCCATCGAATCCCACGAAGTCCCATTGGACCTTGATGACTTTGCCCCATCGTGCCCCATGGAGTCCCATCAAGCCCCATGGAGTCCCATCAAATCCCACCGTGCCCCATTGGTGTATGTCGGGCTTCGCACAACACGTCATATGACCGAAAATCCCACGATGCCCCATGGAAAGAATGAACATGTTCATTCTCGATGGGACTCCATGGGACTCCGTGGGATTTTGCCCCATCTTGCCCCATCGAGTCCCACCGAGTCCCACATGGGACTTCATGGGACCTCATGGGACCTCGTGGGACTCGATGGGGCAAGATGGGGCAAAATCCCACGAAGTCCCATGGAGTCCCATGGACTTCATGGGGCAAAATCCCAAAAGGTCCCACGAGGTCCCACGCAATGTTAAGTCTATGGAGGTCCCAACTTGCCCCATTGGTGTATACCGGGCTTTACTCGTGACTGACGAGCTTTTGCGATATTACTTTAAACATATGGGTAAAATATTTGAACACAATCGACCTCCTTCTAGGTGAAAATGATAAATATTTCTTCCGACGGAAGTTCGTCCATTTTGTTCAAGGGAAATGTGTCATGTTTGATAACTCCTGAAAGGATCGGTATAATTACTAAGTAAATATATAGAGATTATCCTATATGAGGTTCAGGATATTGGGATTATCCAGAGACCAATATAATATATCTGCCCGAGGGCCGTAGGTCCCGAGGGTAGATATATTATATTGGCCAAGGGATAATCCCAATATCCTGAATCGACTATAGGATGATCTGTTTATCCCATACCAATCACATTGTTCAATTGGCCAAAGTTCAGGAACTTTGCAACCAATCGTGGAATTATTTTTAAATATTCATGTCCAGTTTTGTATTCTTGTCCGTAGCCGGCTTTTCCTGTTCAAATCTTTGATTATTAACGGGGCATATTGTTCCTTCCCTTTTTTAAAGCATCAAACAGACCGCGATTGTCTGCGTTTTTCTCTATTGTCGTTTACAGTATGCGAATGTTACAACTAAAAGAACCAATACGGGAACAGCGATTATGACGTAGCGGGCAGATATCTACCCGCTCGGAGCGGGACTTAAGCTATATCTGCCCGCTGATGAAAATATAAGTTTTTACAAACCGGCTTTATGTACTCGTAACACCTCCAAGTATGGGATAAATTCTGATATTAAACTATTTCCCTTGGGATCATACTGTTCAACCAATGTATTCCTTCAGTGATATGTAATACCTTGATTGCTCAAGATGCTTGGGACTACTACATATACTAGTACATAGTATATCGACTAGTACATATACAAACGTTGACCTGCTTACCTGGACACCCACTTTGAGATGCACATGGGCGGCTTTCAAATCCCTCACCCTCACATGCAAGACCATTTCCGAAGGGGGCGGGATTGGTACAAGTTCTGCTCCTAGTGCGTTCACCTTCCCCACATGTCGTGGAACACGGTGTCAGTAGCGACCAGGGAGCCCAGTTACCGTCAACATCTAATGCACCTACAGGTAAAAAGCAGGCATCAGACCTTTATCAATTTGGTATCAAAACTACGTTCATTGTTTGTGTTGTTCCATTATTTATCAACTATGTAATAAATGGATCTGGTCGATTTCAGTCGTTATCCATAACAAGCTTACCGGGACATAACTCTGAAGCACATGCTTGTGATTGTTCCGCTGAACCTGGACACGAATTTCCACCATTAGATTGCGCTGGATTCGTACATGACCGATATCGAGTTCTTATACCTCCACCACAAGTAACGGGACAATCGTTGTATTCTCCCCAGAGAGACCATTGTCCGTCGACTGAATGCAAAAATGTCGTATTATAGAATTAGTGTTTCATGGACCCTGTTTTCCTCTTTGAGTAAGAAGTAGTGCAGACTCTTCTGTCATGTGCAAAATTGATTGTGAATTCACGTTTTTGTATTTTGGCATCTATGAACTAACAAAGCTATTTCATTGTTCTAATTTTACTCACTTGGACATTCATCATCATTACACGGCCTTGTTTTTACATTTGTACCATTGCAGTCCGCACCACCGTCATATGGGCCATCGCACAGCCTGTACCTAGGTTGTATCCCTCCGCCACAGGATGTATCACATTGACCCCATTCCTAAATACACACATTCTGTTTTATCAGTGTCTCTATTCAATTAAAGCTCTATTCCAAAGGATAGTAGAGACTGCAGATCCCACATTAAAATAACTATGATGAATTAATTAGGTTATAATATCTCATCTTAATATAATTTGGGAAAAACAAGTTTACAAACAATAATATACAGAGACGTTTTTGTGAAACGATTGTGCCAATTTGGAAAAGTTTTAAACAGTTTAGAAAACACACATTGCAATGGTGTTTAAGCATATTTACCTGCCACTCCATCCACACGCCATCTTCTGGACAATCATTGTAACTACAAGGTAATCGCTCAACCTCCCCGGTGCTATTTTCAGTTCTGTTCATGACCCCACCTCCGCATTGCACACTGCACTTCGACCAATCTGACCATTGCCCATCTGACAGTTAAATTTGACAATAATATGTTAAAGAGCAAAATGAACAACATAAGTATATCGTCCTCTATTAATTTATTAAATAATATCACCAAACCTCTTGTCATATTTTCAACAATGATGTTTCATTTCCTCCAAAAGTACGAAACTCGCCTCACAAGCATCGTGAGATATCACAGCCTTCTCTCTCAGTTTATTTCTAATTCTTGTGCATAGCAGAGATGGTCTGAGTATCAGAATGCCTCACAAGCGATTTTTGCATAACAATCGTCTTCGAAAATGAAGGAGTTTCAATAATATAGCAAGAATTTAACATAACGTTAATGTAGCTTTGGCTAGATACAAAATCTAAATGTAGTTTAAATATATATAAAGCGTTCATTATTACCTGTTGGTAAGAAAAATCCTGCAATTAAAACAACGAGAACTGTAAGTCTATCCATTCTCACAAAGTCGAAATCCTAAAATATTGGAACCATTATATTTTGTTGAGAAAACAAGTAATAATATTTTTACTCTAAATTATTCATGTTGTTTTCCATAACAATCCATGCACTCGTTGCTATACATTGAAAATACGATCGTCACAAATATTCTCAAATATTTGACATCTCGTAAATGAATAATTGATACATGTAATAGCCGTCAATTGATACAATAATATGTAGATGCATGAATACAAAATAAAGGACTATAAAAGAAAAACTTATATATGATTGATAACGAAAAAAATGTTTCATTTGTAACGGTGGTTGAATTAGTTGGTTCTGATAGAATACGGGATTAATTCGAGAAAATGAGGATTGTAAGCAAAATGTGCACTTGTCAAACGAAATAGTTTCTAGATCATACCCAATGAGCACAGCCTCTAAAAAGAGGACTTGTTTTTTTGTAATTACATTTACCTTTAAAAGTTGTTTTATCAGTAGCTGTTTTATGCAGTAGCTTTACTATAGCCCATCCATCTCAGATGAACCATTTAATGAAGCGCGATGATCTGCAGTATAATTATCTAATGAACATTTCAATATCACCCTATGCAGACAGAGCCTGTGGGAAATATTGGGTGCGGCGCAAATGAGCGGAGGGTGCGGAGCTAACGGTCATTTTTGAGTTTAAAATTGGGATATTTCTGAAACTAAGCCGTTTTGGGACTTCAAATATGCCAAGATATGTGTATTTGACACCAAATATCAATAAAATTGTGAAAATAGTAGTGCAATTCATTTTATAGCGACGCAGTATGCCTTAAACATTTCCCAGACGGTAGTTTAGAGAATACAACACCAAGAAAATGCATGCTGGTGGCTCCCAGAGGGTATACACATTTTTCACCAAGTGCTTTTTTCGTTTACATCAGTTCAACATCGTCATTTCAAACCTACGGTAATACTATTGAAGTTACTCGATCAAAGAATACTCATAAAACTACAGTGAAAATTTTGAGATCCATTTCAACGGCAAATTGAGGCCTGTTTATAAAATTTGTTTTCGAACGTGCTAATATGATAGGGCATCTTTGGGGAATCTCCCCCCTGGCCAACACGGTAAAATACCGAATGGCGAAAAAAGCGAACGCATTCCGTTCGGTCTTTGCACGCGATTGCCGTTTATGTCACGCATTTGGTACAAAATATGTGTATATATCACTCATTTGTTTCGAAAATATTCACATCTACTATATATATTTTGCAAGTGGATCCAAGAGACCAAGTGGGCAAGTCAATTATTTTGCAAGGGTGGCATGATACACAGATTTCAATTTTGTATATAGTGAATTCCCAGTGATTGATTTCAGTACAGTAAAACTGTCATAGTGAACACCTCTTTAGTGAAGATCTGTGCCCAGTGCAGGCCTGTCAACTGTCCCGCAATTTGCGTATTTGTCACGCATTTGCTGAAGAATTTGAAGTCACGCCATTTTTTTTTGCGTGACACAAAATGTCACGCAAATACACATTTTACCTGGTAATTGTCACGCAAATATGTTTCTGTAAAAAAAATTTCAAAATACGTTTATGATACGGTAAAAATACGAACGTCGGAAAAAAACGAACGCAATTTGTTCGGATTTGTCACGCGAATCCCGTATATGTCACGCATGTTCATTGGAACGTCGGAAAAAAAACGAACGCAATTTGTTCGGATTTGTCACGCGAATCCCGTATATGTCACGCATGTTCATTGGAAATTTTCGTACCTACCCCCCCCCCCCCCCCCCCCCCCCCCCCCCCCCCCCCCCCCGTTGACGATATCGCGAGCGTAGCGAGCGCGAAAAATTTGAGGTGATAAAAGTTTAGCAAAGGTGCTCAAACTTTGGCCAAAGGTGTTTAAAAGTTGGCCAAAGGTGTTAAAAATTTGGACAAAAGTGTTCAGATTTGGACTTCGGTGTCCAACATTTGTAAGTCACTCATATTAGGTGGTCCCAAGTTGACAGCCCTGCCAGTGACATGCCTCTACTCTATTGAACACCTGTGTATATTATAGTGAACACCGATTCCGTCCCAGCCAGTGAGTTCAGTACAGTAAAAATATCCTAATGAACACCTCTTTAGTGAAGATCTGTGCCCAGTGAAAACATGCGTCTACTCTATTGAACACCTGTGTATAGTGAACACCAATTCCCAGTACATTAAAACTGTCATAATGAACATCTCTTTAGTGAAATACTGTGCCCAGCGAA